TTTGTGACCACTCCTGAATCTTTGTGACCACTCCTGAATCTTTGTGGCCAGTTCTGAATCTTTGTGGCCAGTTCTGAATCTTTGTGGCCAGTTCTGAATCTTTGTGACCAGTTCTGAATCTTTGTGACCACTCCTGAATCTTTGTGGCCAGTTCTGAATCTTTGTGGCCAGTTCTGAATCTTTGTGGCCAGTTCTGAATCTTTGTGACCACTCCTGAATCTTTGTGACCACTCCTGAATCTTTGTGACCAGTTATGAATCTTTGTGGCCAGTTCTGAATCTTTGTGACCACTCCTGAATAATAATCCTTGTTTATTTATAATAAATTTACTGTTTGTTTTAAAGTTGTAGTTTTCTCATGAACTACAGAGTATTTGCTTGATTTCACTGAAGTATTTTTAATTAAACATTTTAGAAATGAGCTCAACTTTAAATAAAAGTCCAGTTTGTGATTCTTGTTTGAGTTCCTGCAGGTCTTCTGTTAGCCAAAGGTTGATATTCAGCTGCTTCTTGCATCTCATATTCAGCTGTTTTTAAGCTCGCAGCCGAAACTGACGAGTTTTTTAGAATGTTAGTTTAGTAGAAACCAGAACCGTGTTTTTAAAAAGAGCTCCTCTGAGAGTTAAATGTAATATTCAGAGTTCAGCTCTTCTTTTGTTGAACTCTGTAGAATTTGATATGTTTAACAGAAGCAGAGACTTGATACTTGAACAGAACCTTTCACCTGTAAACAGGTGTGTCCAAACAGACGTGAAACAAGATATTTGAGACGTTTGAGTAATTATTATTTTCTTCGGCTGCAGGGATGATTCTGTCGGTGTTCGTCGTCTTCCTGCTGACCGTCTTTTACGAGGTCCTCAAAGTCTGGAGGGTGTCTCTGGGGAACGGGTTCCAACCGGACCCACCACCCGAGCCGGCAGATGCCTCGTCCTGCAGCTGCAGCGAGGCCTCGCTGGCCCCCACAGAAACCCCCCTGAATCCAGATCCTGGAAGGACCAGGAAAAGGTCAGTCTTAAAACCACCTGCAGGACGAGTCAAAAGTCTCAGGACACCYGTTCATTTCAGAAACAARACGAYTGAGACACATGAAGACCCCAACAGGTAATGAGGGGGACTATCTTTTAGGCCAGGGTAGAACTGCCATCTTGGATCAACGGTGGGTTCCCCCCCCACCCTCGAAATAAAAGGTGTCTTGAGACTTTTGACTCAAGTGGTGAGGGTTTTCATCCACGCTAGGCTAACGGCTAACCGAACAGTTAAGATTTGTAAACAGAGGTGTCAAAGTATTCACATTCAGTACTTAAGTAGAAGTATAGATACTAGGGTTTAAAATKACTGTTTTGTCAACTCAAGTTTTTTACTCAAGTAAAAGTATAAAAGTACTGGTTTTAAAACTACTTAAAGTAAAAGTAATGAACACTAAAACAAAGCCATTAAGGATAAAAGCTTAGGCTGTGCCACAGGGTTCTACAGCACTGTAAAAAAATGTAAGGAGTAGTAAAAAGTAAGCTGAAAAATAATTACTCCACTAAAGTATTAATAATCAAAATTTCTACTTAAACCGTTCCTGCAGATCCTTAAAAAGCCTTGAATTCATCGATCTAAAAATTAGGCCTTAATTAGCCTTAAAAGGTGTTAAAGGGATCCACAATTAGTTGTAACATTAAACTTTGATAAACATTTATTTAAACTGTAAAAATACTGTAGGATGTTTAGTTTTGTAATTTTTTAAAAATATATTTTAATACGGACTGAGCCATTTTATTTCCACACAAAGCATTCTGGGTAAATGATGACATGGATGGGTCCTCGGTGTGAGGCTGCAGTGAGCTAAATCCACCCTGAAGGTTAATCTTGGACAATATCTGATGATCGACTCTTTTAAATGAAACCAGAGAGCGTTGACAGAGAGGAGAAGGTAGAAATGACTCAGCCTGGAACTGAAAATATGGATGGAGGACAACAGAGCTGCTTCATGGAAGAAGAACCTCAGCTTAGCCTGTTAGCTTTAGCGTTAGCCCCGATGCTATCAACATATACAGTATATGTATTAGCTCAGCACTAGTGCGACAAACAAGCTAAACTGAGGTCCTAAGAATTTTTTTTGTGAAATATGGATAAAAACAACTGGTTTATTAGCAATATTTGAATAATTCAACAAAAAACACTGATTCATCATGAGTTTCTGCCACATTTTTATTTTTTTGTCATTTGTGTTAATTGTGAAATTGGTCTTAAATTTGGTTTTACTTGGCATTAAAGCCTTAAATTTACTTTCCTTAAACTGTAGGAAGTAAAGTATTTGTACTCAGTTACTTGACACCTCTGTTAGTAAAATGCTACATGATCTAGTCTAACCTGAGCTTTGAGTCTTTTTGTTAAAGTTGAAGTCATGTGTTCCTCTGCAGCTGGGTGCTGCACCTGGTCCAGGCTCTGCTCCACGTCCTGCAGGTGACTCTGGGCTACATGTTGATGCTCTGCGTCATGTCCTACAACACCTGGATCTTCCTCGGGGTCATCGCGGGCTCCGGCCTGGGTTACTTCGTCTCGTTCCCCCTCGTGCAGAGGCTGGGCGTCCTCGCCCGGGTCAAGCCCTGAGTGGGAGCAGAAGACTCACCTGATGGTTCAGAAYGTTGGGAACGGCTCAAACCAGTTCAGGTTTCAGGTCCTGGAGGAGGAAGTGAGCCTCGTGACGTTCAGCCTGTAAATCTCTCACATCCTGTTTTTGTTTTTTAAATGATTTTCCACATAATGAGTCAAGATGAGCTGACGGGGATAAAATGTTTTTGTTCTTAAAAAAAAAAACTAACAACTGAAATAACTTTTATTAGTTGTTTTTTTTTACAAACATGAAAGTTAGAGGTTACACAATAAATAACTGCACTTTGGTCTCCCATAAACTAAAGGATTTAAATAATTTGATGTACTAAAAATAAAGATGTCTCAAACATTTCCTAATAAATTAATCCCAATATTTGTACTTGTTTTTATTTACAACCTTTTGTGTGTCTGTTCTTTTAACCCCAGCTTTAAGGTTTTTGGCAGCKAGCTGTAGCACKTCCKACAGAGCAGCGATCCTCAGCTCGTTAAGTTTAACTCTTGATTAACGGTCTAAACTACACAATTACACACAGAGCTGAAGAAAAACTTGGGTATTGTAGAGAGACGAGTAAATATTTCTACAGCTTCAAGCCTCTACAGAACGATTCGGGTTAAAATAAAAAAAAATTTCCCCAAAATATCTTAAACAGCTTTTAAGATTCAGCTGGGTTGAAACATGGAGCCCACTTGTAAAAACAAAGTGCTTTTAAAGTTGAAGAGTACATTTTGGTTGCAGCGCCCCCTGCTGGTCAAACATAAAACTACAAGTTTGAAACATCTGAGAACATTGGAAAGGAAAAGCAGATAAATTCTAACAGATTTAAACTTTAGTTTTTTCCTCTCTGGGTTTCTACAGTCTCACACCGACGGTCCTAAACTAAGTCCACGTTCACATCGTCGCTTGTTTTGACCTCACCGTTGGAGACGTGCTCGCCCTCGGCCGGTGACTGGAAGCCGCTGTCGTACTGCGAGCTGCGCTCTGCGCCCGGYGCCTGTGCTTCGCAGTCGGACTCGGATGTGGACGCTTCCGTGGCGTGCTCGCCCTCCTCCTGCTGCACGGCCAGCTCTATCTCCTGGATGGCCTCCTCCTCCTGGAGGTCCAGCTCGGCCTTCGACGTCTCCCGCACGAACTTCTTGGTGGCGTTCCCGATGACAGTGGTGACGTGCGTCACCTGCTCCTCCAGCCCGTCCTCCATGGTGATGGTGCCGCTCTTCGTCTCCGTCCCGCTGGTGACGTCGTTCAGTTTCTCCTTCGGCACCGGCAGCACCACCTCCACCATCGGGCTGATCAGGTCCCTGATGGAGTCCACGCTGTCAGGAGACATGGGGTCCTCCGACGGACCTAAACCTTCCTCATCCTCCTCTTTACACTCTGAAACATCACCATCCTCCTCTGGGATAAGCTCCACCCCCGGGACCTCCAGGCAGGACTCGTAGGGGAAGGGCAACCCCTCCAACTGGATCATGGACACCACCTGTCTGCGTCGTCCTCCAGACCCTCGGCCCTCACCACCGATGTGCCCCTCCAGCTCGTCGGCTCCAAACTTAGCAGCCCAGTCGGCCTGGGGGGTCTCCTCCAGGAGGTGCAGGTTGGGGTCACTGTTGGTCAGGATGATGCTGTCCCTGTAGAGGTTGTGTTTTCTCTGAACAGCTGCTTCCTTCACGGCTGGAGACAAATAAACAAATGAATAAACATTGTTATTATTTTAAAAGCTGTTAGTGCTGAATATTTACAGGCAAATCACCTGAGACGACATAAAATACCATGTACTATAAAAGTTGTTCATAATGACATAAAATACTATTTTATGTCATTATGAGCAACTTACTATATAGTACATGATATTTTAAAAATACCATGTACTATATTAAGTTACTATACAGTATGTTGTATTTTTTGTCTTTTTTATGACTTACTATATATAGTATGTTGTATTTTTTAACTTTTTAGAGGATTTCCTATAGGTTGTATTTTTTGTCTTTTTTGATGACTTACTATATATAGTATGTTGTATTTTTTGTCTTTTTTGATGACTTACTATAGTATGTTGTATTTTTTGTCTTTTTTGATGACTTACTATAGTATGTTATATTTTTTGTCTTTTTTGATGACTTACTATAGTATGCTGTATTTTTTGTCTTTTTAAATGACTTACTACA